TTAATTTTACTTGATAAATTATTATCCCGCGTATGACGCGGATACTATCCTAGTGGAGATTATGAGCGATGAATTATGTTTTATTTTTTAGGATCATGTTTCAAAGACATGAATTTCCTATTGTTGATCCTTGAATTTAGTGGAATTAAATGAAAATAAGAAAAACTTATTTTTATCATATAATCTACTATATGAAAGTAAGTACTCAAATTATACTGGTTTATAATGCTTATTTTGGAGTGTAGTACAATTTTGTATGTTTTATTATAAATAGAACTAAGCAAATTCTATAAATATAAAATATAGAATTTTTTTTTTGACTTTATAAATAGAAAAAAATAGATTTAACTTTATCCAGTGTATTTCTATGTATTCAAACTAAAAATAACAAATAATTATGCAATACATGCAAATATATATATATATATATATGTAATTAATAGTCAAAGATTTTTTTCTCAAAAAAATATATTATCATTAAATATATGGAAGATTCATAAATGACCCAAAAAAAAAATCTGGTAGTAATTAAATAAAAACTTTTCTCGTAAAAAAAAAATCATATAAATAGATCTCTTCATGAAAAAAAATTATAAAACATATTTTCTTCTCAATAGAAACAAAACTAAACAAATTATAATGGATATAAAAAAAACCTCAATCATCTTTCTCCTGGTAATAACACTAACATTTTCAACCGTGTCAGGTATGATGATTCTTACAAAGAAATTTCTTCATTAATTAATTATTTTTGAATTGTCTTTGAACATTTTGAGAACAATAGTTGAACACTTTTCATTTTTTTTTCTTTAATATAGAATCGGTAATAGCCATTTACATGCATGTGTCCATTATTTAGAAATGTATATATCATCTTAATAACACGGGTTGTGCCTTTGTCTATATGCAGTGAGTAAGGCACAGAAATATGGAGAATGCTGGTTAGATAAATGTGTTGCATTAGCGTATGGGGAATCTCAATGCATCCATGAGTGTATGGCTGTGCCGAAGAAGGGATACATTGGAGGACATTGTGTTAACAATGGAGATTGTTGTTGCATCTTACCATAGAATTCGTTCTTGTTGCTAGTAATTGGCGATTTTGACCGATGAATTTTATGTTTTCGTGTGTTTTTTCTCAAAAGATTAAATTTCCTATTGTTGATTCTCAATTATAGTGGAATTCATTGACAATAAAACCTATTTTTATCATAAAATCTACTATATGAAAGTCTCCCAAAGCTGGTTTATGATGCTTGTATTTTTTTTTTTTTTTGGTATAAATCATGGATTATAATGTTCCACACAAATGAGTTCTTGTGATTGATCCTCGTGAATACCATATAACAAGATGATACATGTTTTTAGTTTTGTTGTTTCTCAACTTAACAGATTAAAGAACAATTCATTGCGAGACAAGAACAGAGTAGTACGAGGTTCAACAATCTGTCCAGATATGATTTATTGTCATAAACTGATCATCTCTTAAGAGTACAACACCAGGACGAGTAAAGGCCAATGCTCTTTATCTCTATTGCTTCAAATCTGCAGAGCATCAGCAATGGATCCCGCAAGGCTCAAGACTTCGAAAGGAGCTTTGTTTCCTATGGCTTTAACCGTCTGTGGACAAGAATCCGTGATCCAGAAGTACGCAAACGCTTCTTCTAATCCTAATTTGAAGACAAAACAAAAACAACAATACATACTTCAGCTTTAAGATTCATCAAAGATGTCGATTGCTTTTGACAGGTACTTACCGTTGTTCTTGTGTGTGAAACGCTCCCACGAGCTCTTTGGGAAGACACCGTGAGTAACATAAGCACTCACTTTTGCGGCTCCATGAGCTGCCAATACTTTCTGTGTGAAATAAAATAAAGTGAAACGGTTAAGACTGAGTGAAAAGTAACCGCCATTTTCTTGACAATTTCAAACTAAATTCTCAACAACTTTCATAGAACATAATCACATATTAATAACTAACAAAGATTTTGTATCAAACTTGGAAAATTAACACAATTCTGCGAGAAATGTTTGAACATTTTAATTAAGAACTCACTGAAAATTGCTATAGGTAGATACAAAATGCATAGAGATTGTAGTTCATACCTGGCATTCAATGAGTGTACCCCCGGACTGTACAAGATCATCGACAATAACAACGTGACAACCAGCAGGGTTTCCTTCCTTCAGCCTGACTATTCTCTTATCGCCTTCTCGAACCTTTGTGCACACCACCTTATGATTCCAAAATTGAGCGTATCATCAGTCTCATTGTCAAAGTGAAGATTAAAACATCAGTTTAAATCGCTACATACCGTGGGATACTGGTCCAACAGCTTGTGGAAACGCTTCCAGGCACCATCATCTGGAAACGCAACTATGACCTGCAAACAAAAGGACTCAAAATTAAGCCTAGGGAGCAATAACACAAAGAACAGACATCGAAAACCACGAGTGGTCAATATCAGTAACAATGAATTCATGAACTAACTTTCTCAGTTTCAGGAAGCTGCTGAAGACGTTTCGTCAACAACGGGATTCCAGTCTCAAACAAAGGAAGAACCTGATCAGCAAAGTAAAACCTCTCCTGCAAACACAACAACAGATAGAGATAGAGAAAATCAGAAGGAATAAACACTTGCAGGTCATAGGAAACAACTAGTTATCGAATCCCGGGGAATATTAGGAACCGCTAAAAACATACCTGTAGAGCGTGAATGTCATAGATGACAACACTAGTCGGACCACCACGAGAGATAGGGATATTAGACACAATCCTAGCCATGGTAAAAGCAGTAGCAACATCTCCTTCCTCTTCCATTCTCTCAAAGGAACCAGTAGGGAAGAAAGGCAAAACCAAAGTGAAAGACGCGACAAACAAACGAGGGAGCAAGTAAATGACAGAGATCTGCTCAAAGATAACCGCAGGAGAACTGAACGAAGCAAGGAAAGCAACGTGCTGTCCTCGGATTTCATGAGCATTGTTGATAAACAGATTTGGGAATCCATCAGCAAAGCTCCTAAATAGCATATAGAAACCAAATCAATACACAAATCCTCAAAATCCAATCTATGAATCACCAAAACACTGATCAAATTGCAATTTTTCGATGAGGGTTTTGAATGCATGAGCTTCAAACCACAAGATTCTGAAGCAGAACAACAAAAAGACATGATTTTTAGCTGAAACCTAAACTCATAGAAGCTACCATGAACTTTAAACATCACCCAGAAACTCAAACGGAGAAGAACCCAGAAAAGGAAGGAATTTTGGTACCTCCAGTTGATGGATTGAAGAGTGATGTGATCAGATTCAGAGGCGATATTGTGAGCAAGTTCTTCGCACTCTAAGCAGTAAAAGAGATGAACTTTCTTCTTCTGTAACTCAGAGACGATTGATTCTTTACAGATCTTGTTCTTCTCCATGATGATGATGTTGTTGGCTGCGTTCTCAGACACTGACGCCGTTGTTGAGTAGGAATGTCTTTTGCAACGGATTCTGATACACACAAAAAAGGGTTTAAAGGTTTTTTTTTCCAAAAGCCCTTGTACTTGATTCCTTACAC